CACGATAGTACTGTAGAATACTTTTAGTTACAAGTTTATACGTGTTCATAAATGATATCAGGCTATATACAGGTATATACCGGTGAGATTGAGGATTTAAAATATCGATTTTACAGTCTGTTGACGCCGATTCGTAAAACCGCGACGAATACGGAAAGCTTAATAAGGCAGCGTCAATGAAGCTCTCTTGCCTAAAATGAACATTGAGATATCCTACAAAATTGACAGTATTTCTTTGGAAGCGTGGGTGCGGAAGTGACAGGGAGGTATGGTAGGCTAAGGCAACTGATGGTAGGGCACATAACCCCTTAGGTTCTAGACAAATAATGCCGCAACGCAATAAGCAATAGGCCTCCTTGATGAGGCACTGTTTTCTGGGCTCTCCGGGCTCACTCTATCCTCATTTGGGATAACATGCGCTTCCTGACTTCTTGGTTTCATTATTATTAATTTGCGCCTTCTGAGTTACAAAGCCCAGTTTGACATTCATTCTGTCTCTGGTACACTCCGCTTCATCGAGAAGTGCCACCAACATGAAGCAAACGTATTCAGATTCGGCCATTACAATGTTCAAGTCTGACTCGTTTTCAATCTGCTCTATTTCTGTCGCTAACTCTTTTCTTTCTGACTTTGATTTACAGTTCCTGTACTCTTCTTTGATTTCTGTGTGCCTTTTTTCTAATTTTTCTTAGCCACATCTAACCAGTAAGTTGCTGTAGGACACTCTGCAACTCTGCTATTATGGACCTAGATTTCCCGTAGTTTTCCTCATATAACACAGTAAACTTTCATCTTGAGGTGTACTCCTTGTTACGGAGCACTAGACTTTCGAGCGTCTGAGCGCTCAGGACGATGGGCATCCTATGGAATGGAAGAACCATTTTTAACTCCAGGTACTGTGTGCAGAAGATTTTGTCTGCTTAAATTGCAGAAAAGTTGCCCCAGGTACTTGACTGGGGACTTGTGAAACAATTGATTCAAGGTCCTGGATTCGACCTTATATGACTGTGCATAAAGAGCTAGTCTCGACTCCAGGCCTCAAAGTTGCGATGCTTTGACACGAGAGTATAGTGGCTACTTTAGACCGATGCACCAAGCGTAGCGGGCGCTTAGACTGAGGGTTTTGATAAACCCTTTTATGAACAACTCGCAGTGGTTCAGTGGAACTATAAAGGTAATACGATGTAGACGAATATTTATTAAGAGGCACGTAACGAGAGCAGTTATCAACAGAATCTATCGCCCAGGTGCCAAGCCTGCAAAGATTCCCTCACGACCTCACAGGCGATGATACCTTATGTCTTTTCTCACTTTGAACAAAAGTCGTAAAATATAATACTAGTCTACTCGAAGAAAGGTACTATGTCTACGTCCAAGAAAAGGAGGGAAGCAGAGGGAAAATGGGTATGGGTACATATGTACGTGCGTCCGAGAATGCGCGCGGCAAGTTGTGCGGCGAACGATAACTCTGACGTCTATTATTGGAGCCCAAACTTGAAGTTCAGCAGTTCAGTAGTAGCCGATCCTACTAATCTACCCTATTCCAAATTTGGGCCCAAATCATAGCTGCTGAAGTCGTTCAGTCGCCACGAATTTCGCCGCGCAATTTGCCGCGAGCATCCTCGGACGCAACTAAGTTTCGTCCCCAAGGGAAGATGGGCCAGTAAGTGTTTGGTAATTCTTCCCCATCCAATGTACCGAATGCAACACAAGGGAAAGATCTTGAGTCGAAGTGGCCACTTGACGTGAGACTTATACTGCTATACGAACTTGCCCATTGAATTGTGTAGCGATAGGTATTGCTTGTGCACTACATAAATACGTGCATATATACGCATTGCTACTTACATATTATTACATGGTGTCTGAAAATAAAAAAGCAGACCTGGACATGCCGATTATTGCCTTCAGAGAATAGGGAGTTAGCTTGGGTGTGAAGGCATACAAGGCTTAATAAATGCGGAAATAAAATGTTCAGCAACATTACTCTATTTTATAACCATGTTTTTACTGCAATGGACTATTAAATGTGGACCAGAATCTAGGAACTAATCTTCAAAATAGTGTCATTAGACAAGTCATAATGGAGTTGTATGCTCTTCACAGAACAGTCGCTATGTATCGTTAACTAATAAACGGCTGAAAGATAGGTCACCATCTTAGTCCTATTCACCAGAATTTTTCTGCTGGAACGATCTTGAGGCTTCGTTTCCTGAACTTAGCAACCCTTTACTCACACACTGAAAAACAGAATCTAGCACGAAGGAGATGGTGGTCCGATCCCATAAATAACTTTGAAACAACAGCGTCGTCGATCTCGCAAAAGTTCGACTGAAGATGATGTGATCTTTTTCATTATGGAGCTAATTTCCAGGTGACTCTCATGCACATCGCGAAGGAGAGGGCTTGTGGGATTCTGGAATTACGAATTACCATGAATGGTGTGGACTGTCATGATATACTCGAGATCCTTCATCCTGCTCATATCCTTCCATTCCGTGTGCCATGTACATATGAAGCACTACAGCGGTTGAACTGAAGCCAATCTTGGCGTTGAAATCACCGGGATGATCTTGAAAAGGTGTGCTTCTTTCTGAAGAGCCTTCCCAGGTCTACATAAAATGCTTCCAGCTCCTCTTCGCTGTAGCTTGATGTTGGCGCGTATGTAACGAGAACTGGTAGAGCTGGGACTGAGCCGATTTCCTTAATCGCAAATGTCCGATACGAGTTGTTGAACTTTCACAAGAATCGATGTTCATGGTCACGCGCATATCGGCGAGAACACCTATACCGGCGACTCCTCTGCTGTCGCTTTTCCAAGGAACAGTTCTACTATGCAGTGGGTGATACCTTTTCATCTCGGTCAATCCAATAACGTCGCACCTGATCTCCTTAGCTTACATCATCAGGTCTTCGAGATACACGCTTCCGAGTAAAGTTTTTGCATTGAAAGTAGAGTCTGCCATCGTAGCCATTCTCTTTTCAGGCAACCTGTGTTGAACCTAAGATTTTGGAAGCGTTCTTGCTAAACGCTGCCGTATTGGGGCTCCCTCAGAGGAACAGTAGTAAACATTACTATTTTTGGCGTATGGATACCCACGAGTAGCGTACAAGGCTCTGACATAGGAGATGGATATACTGAGAGTAGGTAGAGTAGGTAGCCAGACTATTCCAAAGGGAAGTCATACTGGAGGCGGCCCTTTTATATGAGCATATGCTAGTTTTTGGGGGTCGTAGGAGTAAACGGATTCATTTCGTCGTCGCTTTTCCTGGTGACAATTCCATCTTAACTAACTAAAAAGCGCCATGTACGGCTATCTCTAAACCTCGGCATAGAGCAATCGTTGTTTTCTTTGCTTGAACTTGGACGAGGTTGATAAAAAATTTTATTCCGGCTAACGTTTCGGCGTAGATCGCCTTCTTCAGAGCCTGGAACGATCGAAGCAATTTATGATTACCCGATCAAACGTATCAACTACATTACAGAAATTCGAGACCTCAGAGAACATCACGCAACTGTAAGTTGGGCCACTTACCGTTGATCCGACCGATCCCCGCGACAACCCAGAAACCAGCAGCGGTCCAGCAAGCTCTTCGGACTGGATATGATTCAGACTCCCTGGTGGAAGGCTAACCTTATATACGGCCTCAGCTCCCGCGTGATTGTGATACACTCTTCTTTCCGGTTCATTTTTGGTCTAGAGACCTGAATCCAGAATGCCTCGAGGGTTTTTCGTGCGGGTG